ACAGAAAAAGGAAGTCTAAAGAGGCCAGGGCTCTAAATCTGGCCCCCAGGAGCCCATGATCACCTTAGAGGTAGGGGGCCAATCTATTGACTTTCTGGTAGACACCGGAGCTACTTACTCTGTCCTGCAACAACCTGCGGGGCCCCTGTCAGGAAAAAGGACACATATACAAGGAGCCACTGGAAAGGCTAAGTCATACCCTTGGACCCAGGCCCATATAGGAAACCTGGAAACAAAACAGATGACTCACTCTTTCCTAGTTATGCTAGAATGCCCATACCCCTTGATTGGTCATGACTTACTCCGTAAATTACAAGTGCAAATCTCCTTCCAAGAAAATTCTATACTTGAAAAAAAAAATCCTTTTCCTTCTGCCATTCTATACACCTGCCCTTTGACTGAAAAACATTTGTTACTGGCAGGTGAGAAACCCAGAGATCTCCTCTGACTTGCTTGTAAAATGGACTTCTAAAATACCTGGGGTATGGGCTAAAAATAACCCCCCTGGTCTAGCTGCCCATCAGCCACCAGTAGTGCTCTCTCTTTTACCTGGGGCATCTCCTGTTTGTGTCCGCCAATATCCCTTGAGCCTACAGGCCAGGTTAGGGATAAATGTCCATATACAGAAACTCAAAAAGGAGGGCATTCTGATACCTATAAGTCTGCTTAAAACACACCCCTGTTGCCAGTCCAGAAGCCCAAAACCACAGACTACAGACCAGTCCAGGGTTTACAGAAAGTAAACCATAAAATAAAAACTATCCACTCCATGGTGCCCAACCCATATACACTTCTGAGTCCGCTGCCCCTGGACCGAGTCTTCTACACAGTCCTAGACTTAAAGGGTCTTTCTTCACGATCCCATTGGCTCTAGTAAGTCAATCCATTTTTACTTTTAAATAGGTGGACCCCCAGACGGGAGAAAATGGCCAATTAACCTGGACCAGATTACCTCAGGGCTATAAAAACTCACCAACCCTGTTTGATTAGGCACTAAACAGAGACTTGCTAAAATTCCGGGGAGAACATCCCCAAGTAACTGTGTTACGATACGTTGATGACATACTGTTGGCCTCTAACACCTGTGACTTGTGTAGAGAGGCAGCTGAGGACCTGCTGCAAAAGTTAAATAAAATGGGCTACAGAGTCTCTGCCAAAAAGGCTCAGCTTTGCTTTGGCTAAAAGCTTAAAAACCATGCTAACACAAGATAGGTAACATATTTGGGCTATAGACTGCAGAAAGGACAACAAACTCTGTCTAATAAACGGATTAAAGCTATATTAAAAATCCCTGTCCCTACCACCAAACGACAGGTAGAAAATTTCTGGGGCTCCTTGGATATTGCAGGCTTTAAATCATAGGATTTACTAAAATTGCCCAGCCTCTATATGTCAATACTGGTGGAGACCAAAAGAAAAAAAAAAACAACAAAAAACAAAAAACAAAAACACCAAAAAACTCTGTTAGAGTAAATCTAGACAAGAGGCTTTTGAGGCTCTAAAGAAAGCCCTTGCTTCGGCTCCTGCCCTGGCTCTGCCTGATCTGACAAAACCATTCCAGCTCCATGTACATGAAAGCAAGGGTGTCGCTAAAGGTCCTAACCCAGTACTTGGGGCCCTGGAAAAGGCCTACAGCATACCTGTCTACGAGACCAGACCCCACTGCGGCAGGTTGGCCAAACTGCCCGTGAGCCATAGCCGCCACTGCCATTTTGACAAAGGAAGCTACTAAGCTCACGTTTAGCCAAGAGCTCCAAATTGTGGCTCCTCACGCGGTTGAGAGCCTTCTTAGAAGCCCTCCTGAAAGATGGCTCTCAGATGCACGGATTGTACAATATCAAGCTTTGCTCTTCGACC